TACACCATCCTCCTCTTCCCTTTTACTCTCCACCCAAAAACAAAAAAAAAAAAAAAAAAGCAGAAAAAGAAAAAGAAGGAAAACACAACCCGAAAAATTGTGTGTGTGACGGGGGCGTTGTAAAAGGTGGTCCGCAGTGGGTTGTCCCTGGTCATGACCAAAGCCTGTCAGCAATTAAAAGTACAGAGCCAACTTACCGCCCTCTATAGGTGACGTTAAGAACACTCTAATGGAAAATAGGAAAATATGTTTAAATGCTTTTCTGCAAAATCTAAGCAGTTAAACGTAAAGAAAAAAAAAGAAATAAAAAAGAATACATTCAAAACAGTTATGATTTTTTTTTAATTATGTTTTTTTTTGATATAAATGTTTTATTTAAAAATGTTTTTAAATTAAATTTCCCTATTCCTAGTATAAAAATTCTTGCAATACCTTTTTGATCTCTTAAAAATAATCATTTCTGGCTGATATAGTTTAGATCCTTGACAACTGACTGATAGAAACCGAGCAGGGTTGTCGTTAGATGGCCTTCCACAGCGACAACCCTAACCAAACCGCAAAAGAAAAGCAAAAAAAAAATAAAAAAGCTGAATAAAACTACAAAAAGAGAAGAGGGTGAGTGCAGAGCGTCTGACTTTTGACCGCGGGCAGCAAAAGCGTGACAAAAAGCGTGACCCGAACTTTATTTTTCCCTTCTACTATTTTTAATTTTTTTTTTTTTTTTTTTTTGGTGGTAAAAATTGAGAAGGAGTGGTTCAGTGGCGCAGTGAGTGGGGGTGCGGTCTTTTGTGGCGGGTTTTGTGTCTGCTAACAAATTTCAATAAATTACAGTTACATTTGCCAAAGTCAGAAAGTGGCCGAGTGGCCTTGGGTGGGCGGATGGTGGGCAGATGGTGGGCGGATGGTCGGCAACAATCCACCCATCTAATGCTTTTGCAACTCCCTCTCAATCCTTTTCCACCAGCCTCCTCCCCCCCCCCAAAAAAAAATGCTCTCTTTGTGTCTGCGAGACTGCATAATTCAATTTGTGTGCGAAAGTTTTGCCAGTGCGTGGTGTAGAGTTTTTAGCAGCTTCCCACTTTTATTTCATTTTTGTTTTTGTTACCACCCCTCATTATAACACCACACCCACCCACCCATGTCAGATTTCCCGCCAAAAAGGTCTAACTAATGCGGCACATAATTCAAACCAAAAGCTACAAATGGGCAAATGACCAGGCTGTTTGGCAGTCAGAGGTTAAGGGTCCCGTCTACTGACACCCACGAGCGGGAAACGTAATTATAAATGGTGGGTGGTTTTCCTAGGCCAGCCAGAGAGATTCTAATTCAGGGAAATGTGGCTAGGGGTTAGAGGTTAATTTAACTCTAGGTACTTAAGCTATATATGATTAAATTCTAAAATACTTCTTCTGGTTTGATATAGAAAATATTTATGTTTTTATAGATTTAAATGAATTTGACAATAGTTATGATACAAGTTCTATGCACTTAAACTTTGGCAATTCCTACCTGGCTTAAATCCACCTTAACTATACTCGGCCAGACTTTCCTCGATCCATTTTGGACTCCTCCCGTATCTCGGTGCATTGATCTGATTTTCAATTGTTGCCGGCGGACCAAAAGGCGAAGAAATGCTGCAAACATTTTGTTGGCAACCGAAAATCGTGTGTCGGCTATAAATCAGGCTCAGACAGTGGGGCTCAGAGGGGTGGGGGCTTAAGGGCGGAAAGGCGACTGATTACGTGGTTCAAAATCCGGACCGGGCCAAAACGAAACTAACGATTTTACGCTACATTTGCTGCTCGAAGGAAGTACGAGAACGAGAGAGCGGGTAGGGTTCTTTTTTTTTCGAGAGGGCGGGGGGTAGACAATGTCTGACCATGGACATTCCAAAGGTCTCCCCCCGTCACCGTACACCCGTTTTTCACCCGCCACCCCTTTGTGTCGTTGTTGGCCATATTACATAGTTGAGTGCATTTATTTATTTGCTTGTATGTCAACCTGTTTGTCTCCTTTTCAATTTTCCAAAGGGGAAGGGGGAACCAAACAGAGGTCCAAAAAGAAAAAAAAAAAAAATGAGAAAGGAAAACTGACCCCATTGATCCTGGCCAAGTTCTTGATTAACTTATTATGCTCATTTGATTGCTCGATTTAATTTGCCATTTCTTTCATCTCTTTCGATTTTTCTCGTTTTTGGGCTGCGCCCCGAAAGTTTGTTTGGCTCTTTTGAAAATTGAATTTCTCTTTTGATGACTGTTTTTCCGGGTTTTTGCATTGTTATTGTTAGTCCTCCGGCTGCCTAAATTCATTTCCATTGTTGGCATAAATTTAATTTCAAAATTAATTTCATTTTTTATTCATACCAATTGTTAATAGCCAGCATATGATGCATGCGTTTTATATTCATATTTCAAACAGACACAAATTGCCTCCTGCCTGCCTCTCTATTTTATTATTGTTTATTATTGTGTTCGTTTGATTTGATTTGAAAATTTCAATTTCATTTTCGGTATTTTTTTTGTTTGTCCTTTTTATTTGAGGACATCTTTTGTTAGAGGATAATAAATATGTATATTTTATACAAATAATCTAAATGTATTTATTAAATAAGTAAAAAAAAAAAACTAGTACTGATGACATTTCTTTTGAATTTTCCAAATATTTTTAATGCTTGTTATTGATAGCTTAAAAAAATATTTTATTTTAAGGTGGCATTTCGTTTGGTTAGCCTATAGAAACATCAGAATCAGAAAGTGATCGAAAAATATAGCTACTAACATAATGGATAAACATCTATTTTGTAAATAAAGTTGAAAGTAAAGGTTTATTTGTAAAAACAAGAAAAAAAAACATTTAAAAATTAAAATTAACAGGATAACTTTTTAATTTCGCTTTTTTATATGCGCCGTGCGAGGCGTAAATCAAATGCTGATTAAGTACGATTTTTCGCGCATAAATTAAATCAGAATTATTGGCCGAAAGCGGACTGTCAGCGCCCACGCGTCCTGTGGTTTGGACCACATTGCGAATGGCTTTCGGCCAATTCGGCTGCCGATCCGTCGTCATGGCATCCAAAGTACCACCACTGTTGTGCGGAAAATCAAACTTCGCAAGCAGAATGCTTTACTTTTCATAAATTTTCCCAAATTTAAATGTTTGAAAATGTCAAATTAGAGACTTGAAATAAAATAATTATCCATCAGTTTAGGGGATTTTAAAATGAGTTAATATGTTAAACGTTTTTTCTTTTAAATTCTTTGAAAAGACAATCAAATAAATAGAAGAAAACCCAAAACAAAAGTAGCGAAAAAATGATGTATGTTAAGGATATTAATTTAAGGGAACTTATCAATCAACCCACTCGCATACAAATTGGTATTATCAATTTTCTGCTGCTGACCGATACTTATATATGTATATAGTTTTCCCTCCTCATTTGGCATTATATTTTGTTCTTGTTGTTGCTGTTGTTGTTGCTGTGTTGCTGTTGTCGATTTGGTTCTGCGTGATTTTCAATCGGTGGCGGTGCAACATGGCGTATGCTTATCAAATTAACGAATTACCCGCTTTTACAATGGCCCCCGTCCGGTATTTTCCGCTTTTCGCTAGCGTATGCGGTTGCAATAAATGATAATCGTGCATGGGAGTGATGGGGAGATGGTTTCCCTTAACCCTTCTTCACCACCCTTCGACCCCCCTTCTTTAACCCTTGTCGCTTCCCTTTTGATGGTCGCTGCGGCTGCGTTGACCAAAAGTCGTAAATTCCGTTGTTGCCATTTGCCGCAGAAAAACAGTGGGCGTTGGGTTGGATGTTGGATTTGCTTGGTGGTGGTGGTGGTAGTGGTAGTGGTAGTGTTGGTGGTGCTGGTGGGGTTGGCAACAACAATGCAAACAGTGCCACAAATGCACAAAATAGCAGCACGAGCAATACCACCACCACCCACACACACAACCCCATTCCAACCCAGTGGGCCAAAAACCCACCGCTCAACGTTCGACATAATTAAAAGCGCGCGCCGTTTACGCAATTAATGAACTCTCGCCAAATTAGGCTGCGGCAGAGCGCAGACAAGCAAAATGGCCAGGATCCCGGGATCCCGGATCCGGGACTCATTGCACGGACCTATATGCACTGTGGGGAAAGCAGTCGCAGTCCTTACATACTATTAAGTGCTCTTCTTAAACCCAAAACGCTGTTACATATTATTAGTAAGAATGGGAAAGTTCCTAATGATAGACTTTCATATTTTCCCATGAATTAATCTAAGAAATCTCAATTTTATTAAAGAAATTGATATTCAATGTTATTAAATTGAATCTAGTCACATTTCTCTACAATTCTTTCACAATCAGCTGTAAAACAACATTTTCTCTCAGTGCTGAAACGCACTCATACAGAGACACTGGGCTTGTGGTTTTCGCGGTCGAGGCGGGCGATGGCAAAATGGAGCTGCAAAAACCGCGCCGCTTTTTGCCGCATTGCAGGAGGCGAACCTTTGTTGCACAAAATTTGAGGTGGGGGGGAGAGGGTTGAGAAAAGCCAGGGGGGGGGGTGGTGGCGGACAACTGGGAGCCGCATTAATGGCCGCCAGTAAAACAAGGGGACATCACCTAAGCCATGTCACTATGTCGCCTGCCACTTTTTCGGAATCATTTGCCATCCAGAGAAAGCTCCTTCTAAGCATTTTATATTTTTTTATTATCTAAAATTAAGTTTAATTTAAATTTATCTATTTTATGATTTGATTATTATTCAAGCCAGGATTTAAATTTTGTATTTTTGATATAATTTTGATATAATGTTATATCAATTTTTGTAATTAATTTTTTTTCCTTTGCCAAATCATTTTTTTTTCTTGTTTGAGAGAGACTTTCACATCCGCATTTCACATAAATTGAAAACAAAAGTCATGTTTATTTACCACTTGTTCATTTATTTGTCTTTTTTTTTAGCTTCCATTTCAATCTTAGTCTAAACATAAAAAATAAACAAAAACGGGTCACTTCAATTCCATTTAATATTTCATCTTCTCACTTTTCATACTTACAATTAGGCGAAAAAAAAGTATGTGTATTATGACTATATATTGTTTGTTTTTTTTTTTTCTGCTTATGCTGTGTTGTTTCTGCTTCAAATGTACATCAGTTTTACATTATGTGTATGAAATGGGGAAAAAAGCTTAGTTCAATGTCGTTTTTTGTTTTGTTTTTGTTTTGGGTGGTTCAGGTTGGAGAGGAACAAAACCAAGGGAAAAAAGTTAATAAATAGGAAAAAAAAAAATCGTAAAAACATTAAATATATATATATATATATATATATATATATATATATATGTTTCATTGAAATGCCAGGCTAAACAGAACCATCGATTTGTTTAAATTTCCTTCTTGTCGGCGGGTGTTTGCGTTGCAGTCGCAATGGAAGTAGTCGTAACCGCAGTCGGAGAAAGTTTCGATCCACTCGATAGGTCCAAATCACTGGCACTATTCTGTAATTAGATAGATATAAAACCATAATCTCATAAGTCCATCAGAGTCACATTGGCTGTCAAGGGGTTAAGGTCTGTCTGCCTGCGCGTTACTACCTTATGGCAGTTTAATAAAATTTCATTACTTTATGATTTTGTGGCTGTTCCAGTAATAACAAAATACTTAAGCCGAATGCATTTGTTTATGGCTAACAAATTGACATTAATTTATCAACAAAATATCAAACAGTACAGGTCAAAATAATAGCACACTTTAACTGGGTGTGGGTATGGGTATAATGACGGGGGAAAAATAACATAAACTAATTACAACAAATTTAAATTTTATGTTAAAACGTGAATCTTTGTTAAATTGCTAGTTCTTCTTGGGAAGGTCAAACAGTTTCCATTTGCCGCTCACCTTCATCTCCTTGCGCAGTTTCATCGATTTGCCCATGCTCTGGAGACGGTAACGCTCCTTGGCCCTTTCACGAATCTTTTCGGGCACCACCCACAGCGTGGTAGCCATGTTGCCCACGAACAGCAACAGGAACAGTCCGCTCATCACGGACACATGCCATGGCGCATCTGCTGGACTGTAGGCCAACTTGTAGAGCGTCCAAGCGTTGTACGCCTGAAAGCCATAGCCAATGAACAGAAATGGCAGCAAGAAGCTCAGGCCACGCCACATCCAAGAGTGAAAGCCCTCGATGGTGATGTCCATGTTGTGTCGCTCACCCAGGGCCTTTAGCCGATAGAGAAGACCCTTCTGGTAGCCAAACTGCAGATATTGGACGATGCCTGGAATTAAAAGGGTGGGTTTTAACCCGGTTGCTTATTATGGACTTAAAATTAAATGCGATACATATTCAAATCGTAAAGAAACGCGTTCTTTATATTTAAACAATTATACTGAAAACTCACTAATATAGACGTTGAAGTACATGAACTGCATTCGGAAAATCTGCCAATGCTCGCCCTGCGGCCAAACCAATAGAACACCGGCGGCTACCGTGGAGATGAAGTGATGCGCCCGCCACCACCCCTTGATTCTAGAACCGTTAACCTTGAGAATGGACTCGCGGATGGTCAGTGTGCAATAATACCAGACCAGCAGAAATATGAAGGCCAGCTCCAGAGCCCTGGCAACAGCAAAAAAAAGCGAAAAAAGAAAAATGGAAAACGCAAATAAAGAGGGGAAACTCATTTGAAAGGCCGGGAAAGCGCTACTTACCTGTAGTTGAATATCAAATTTAAGAAGGCCATTATCAGTCCAATTACGTTGAGTATTAATTTAAACTTTTCATAGTCATCTTTATAGCGAACTTTGTCGTTTCTGTTGAGAATCGAGACATTCACATCGCCCAAGATTATCTGCAAAAGAATGTGGGGAAGAGCAGAGGTCGCAACTGAATTTCATTGGGTCAACTTCAAGTCAACTCGAGTGGAGTGAAGTCCAACAGAAATACCAGGACTAAGACCCAAGTGCAAGTCCAAGTTGAAGTCACAAGTCTCAAGTCCTGGAATCCATAACAAGACGCGCAAATTGTCGCGCAGGAAAGAACTTTTTACTTTACTTGTTTCCCCCGTTTCCACTTTGCGGAAAACTTCTCATTTTTTATGGCCTGTGAGGAGTGACTTTTGGAATGGGGGCGCAGGGGTTTGGGGAACGGGAGTTGACTCACCTGCAGATAGCGGCCGGATTTTGCTGGCAAGGATTGTTCGATTTCATGCAGTTGCGCCTTGCGCTTCAAGATCATCTTTTGGAGTTCATCCACCTTCTCCTTATCCTCCGACGAAACTGAGCCTTTGAACCTGAGAAGAAAGACGAGGGGGTAGGGATAAATATTTAGTCAATTGACTAACCTTTTAAGGCTCTACCTATTTTCAACCGCCGAAAAAGATGTAACGAAAGTAGAAACCCTATATGAACTTCTTGATTAATAATCTAATACATATATTAAACGGTCTCTGATTAGATTACTTCTTTCTAAGTTTCTGTAAACTTACAGAATCATATTTTATTTTGTTTAATTTATTTAAAGACAAACTTACGGGGCAATCTTTTACTCGTGATTTGGATGGACTGATGTCGTCGACACATCGCCCGATTAGATAATGTACATATATAACGTACCTAAATTCTCGTATCGGTGGCCAATTCTTTCTTTTACATTCCCATAAATTAACATAGAATAATATTTCGGACTTTGTTCAAATATTTTATGTTTATTGTTTTATTGATTGATACACGGGGTTGACTTTAAGCCATATTTTTGTAATTTATTCGCCTACAATTATTTGTTTATTGCGGGTAAAGAAACGAGTGAGGCAAAGGGGTTGGTTGAAGGAGGGTAAAAAAAACAATTTCCAGCGTCAAAGTTCAATTTAGATGCTCATAATTGATGGCCAAAGTGGGCGGGGTTTATGCGGTCAATTAACGGTTACCATAAACGTGGGTTCCGCTTTCGGAATATAGTAGATATATATGTGTATATATATAGTCGAATGTATATGTACATCTATATGGCGCTTCAAAGGTAGATTTATAATGGCACTGGGCTGGTTGGTCATTTATCAGGCCGCCGCTTCTATAGTTCATGTTTTATTTTTAAACACCTCTAATACCCCGTTTGAAGCCGATGGATAGATAACAATTCCCGATTATAATGGAGGTGAGGTGACGACCATACAAAGTGTTTCGATTATACTGGTTTCCGCTCCATTTGCTTATGGGGACACCACTTCTCCACCTCCCACTCGTCTGGGATGATGATGACTGGCCAATCTTTTCCAGATTATTATTTCGTATGAGATAATGGGAAATTTCCATAGGAAAGAGTCCAAAAACTAATGGTACTTCAAATATTTTTAACGTTTTCTAAAGATATCTTTGGTACTAGAAAAAACTATATCTCCTAAGATAAAAAAAGTAGTTCGTATAGCAAAGATTCTTAAAATTTTTAGAAGAGCAATGTTTTAGGATAGAAAATTTAAAGTTCAACAACATAATTTATCAAGGCTGGTCCGTGAACCTTACTTAAAAACTTTAAATTTCAAACTTTGAATTTCATTTCTATAGCCATTCTTTAAACTTGGCTTGAATTCCACCCAAAAGTCATGAATTAATTACAAACTAAAAGGTATTTCAAGGAGCCTCTCATCAAGCCACAAAAGGCAAAAAAAAAAAAAAACGAAAAACACTTAAAAGCGCAAACAAATTAAAAGCTTCTTTATGTACACACATCCAACTCTACAATTACAATTAACTGAGTTATCTAGCCAACAAAATCGTTACAAAACGAGCTTAGCCAACAAACTATATTTGATCATTAGTGTATAAACAATATTCGAGTGTTCGTTGGAGCTTGGCAAATGATTTTCATGATGCTAAATGCATTTAACATGTTTGCCATTGTTTGCATTCGGACACTCTTTTTGTGACAAACAAACATAAAAAATGGGAAAGCAGGAGCGAATTCCGTAACTCCGGCACCCAATTTGCATGTCTCAATTAAAATTCATTTGAACAAAAATACGAAAACACGGCGAAAAAAGAGCGAATCAACGGCGAAAACATCGCGAATGTAACAGGTTTTCTTTCTATACACTGACAGAAATGAAATAAAGTTCAGGAAAACATAGGAATATTTGAAAAATTTGAGAATAATAGAGAATACCTTTTACAAACTCAAAATATGAGAAAAAAAAGGCTGCTCGATGCACCTTTATTTTTTGTTTATTTTGGTTATAAATAATTTTTTCCGAGTGCAGGGTCGGTTAGGTCAAAATGGTAATCAGTCGATTTTAGCTATTACTCCGCGAATTGCATAATTTATGTGACCGACTCTGAAAGCGTTCATCAGGTTGCGAAGTTCATCAAACGCTTGCAACGTGAGGCTAAACACGCGACATTAAAGTGAAAACAAAAAAAAAAATAACAAAATAATAACAAGGAAATAAAAAGCGAACGCGATAAGCCAATTATATAAAAATCAAGCAAACCAAAAGGCGTCAAATAAAAGTGTTAAGAATCTGATGTTTCATCATCGCTTTGATTGCAAATATATATACGTATATACCCCATCTCATATGTATTTATATACCCTACATTCGAGAGCGTTTAAAAACGCGCCAATGCAAGCGATTTCCACTCTGCTCACTGCGAAACCGCGCTCAAAACAAATACGAAAAGCAACAGCGCTAAAAGCCTTGGCCGCACAGTGGGTCAAAGTTGAGGTGGCAATTTGCATGCGGGGGCAAAAGCCAGTCGCAATGAGTTCATTTTCACCCCTGGGTTATATTTAACTCGTGGCTTGAAAAAAGCCAAGTAAATGTATCTATAAAAAGTATCTTCTTTGACTTACTCTTTTCTTTATATAATTTACTTTCAAAAAATTAACTTTAAAATGAAATCGCAATTAAATTGTAAATCAATAATAGAATGCCTTTTTATTACATTGCCCATATTAAAACTATTTTGGGTTAAGAAACTAAATGTTTTATGATCTTTTTGGGTTAATCTTGATTTCAAGCTATAGCAGCTTTCTCTCTTCATTAAAACCCCACCCTTGCCCCACTGTGCCCCCACAATTGTGTTATTGTATTTGCGTGTTGCGCAGGTGAGTGTGGCTGTTTGTTTGTGTGTCTGTGCGATTATGGCGTAGGGTCAAGGGCAGCTGGTCAGCTGGGCAGTTTTTGGTTTAATTTGCAGTCGAGTTAATAGCACCACTCACTCCCCCTTTTATCTTGCTCATTGTAGTAAAGCTCCAATTTTTTTTTTTCTCAACCGTATCGGGCAAAACAGTTATTTTTATGAGGTGTCCATAAAACAGAAACCGAATAGTCGTATTTCTAGTCGTAGGTGGACGAAGAGCAAAGTCTGGCTGACTCTGGTTTATCAGAAGTTTTATCATGGCCAAGAAAAGCAAAGGCAAAAACAAAAAAAATAAACAGTTGTAAACACTGTTTCCGAGCGTTCCAACCAACTGTTGCCAGTTGTTACTCGATAAGAACTGATTACCGCCTGACTAATTGCCGCAAGACCTGTGTTCGCTGCTCTGCCGCACTTATCGCGTATCGGGCCAAGTGCTTGCTCGAGTGCTGAAATGCGTGTGTTCGCCAGATTAGACGGCTCTAATTGATTGAAGTCAAATTCCAATCGGGCAAACGCACAAACACTGAAAATCCCCAGCGAAATGGGGGATGGGAAAATGCCTCAAGGTGGCACGCTCATAGAGGCTGTTCAAATATTCTAAAGGGTTTCAAGAAGATATGTGTTATATGTATTATAAAAACTTTATAAGAATTATTGCCATCTATTGATATATATAGCTAAGGAAGTTCTACAATAAAATCGTTTTATGAAGTTAAAGAATTTTCTTTTATTCAGTTTGCTTATCAATTTCCTAAGAATATGTATTTCTTATCTTATAGTGAAGTTAAACCAAAGGTTAACTTAGTTTTGTGTTATAAAAGAAGTTCTAACAAAATCGTTACTATGTATCTATATGAGTTAGAGGTAACTTTTTTTTTAATAATAATCCAGAAATATTTATAGAGACATATGCAATATATTTTTTTTAAATATTAAATTGCCTTTAAGAAATAAAAGGAAACCTAGGCAGATGTCTCAGGGGTTGTAGGGGTTAGGGGTTCCCCCATCCTTAGAGGCTCTTAAAAATATCCAGGGTTGTTGACCTGCAGTAGTACTCACTGTCGCAGAGACGCCGTTATCTGGTTCATGCGATACCGCTGATGCTTGATCTCATTAAAGCAGATTTGTTGGTGGCTATGCTGCTGCTCCAGCAGCTCAATGTACCGTCCATTGCAACGCTGCGATCGTTTTGAATAAATGAAGGGTAGAAAAATTATAAGTTAGACCATTCATCATGACATGGAATATTACAAAAGAAAAGGTAGACGAGTACGGAGTACCGAAGTTTGCAATACCCTTGCGGAAGTTGTAAGATAAAAAGGGTCATTAAAGTTCCCATAGAATAATATCTTTCCATATTATCGATTCTAAAAGTTTGAATTTGACCAAAATTTCTTTTCATAGCCGTAATAAATAACCATATACCAATAAGGTTGGTTTAATAATCTTTGAAATCAGGCGATCAAGGCGATATTTTCTTTAACTGAATGTCAGATATGATGGTTTGATAGGACCAATCTTAAATTTTTTGTTTCAAAAACAGACATATTGATTATATCATAGAAATATCGTAAAGCTCAAACATGATAAATTATAAAACTGTTAATATAATAGTTGGTAAGTTAGTGGGATAATACATATAGAATTTCCCAGATTGCTTTTGAAAAATGAAATATCATGAAATATCATTTTTGTCATAATACATGACTAATTTTAAAAGTCATTGGAAGATATTAAAATAAGTTGGTGCTGCGCTTCAATATTCCGCATTCGGCAAGGGTATTTATAAGAAAAAAAGCAGCTGTTTTTTCAAGGTGAAAGCGACACAGACACTCGCGTGGGTGCGTGTGTGTGTGTCTCTCTTTCTTTTTTTCGAATGTTTTGTTGGGATAGGTATATATTTTTTTTTTTTGGATACTACCACTCGATTTCAGTATATATATTTACCTCAAGTTCGGAGTACTCCTTAGCTAGCTCCTCCCACTCGTTTTTCAGGGAATCGATACTCATGTTTATTGCTTTATTTTGCGGCTTTTCTCGCCGATTTTTCTTGTTTTTACTTTGATTTTTTTCCTGTGTGTTTCGTGTTTGTTTTTGTTTTGCTAACTGTTGTTGTTTTTGTTGTTGCTGTATGTGCAACAGCTGGCGAGGAAGAGTAAAGGGTTGAGCTTTGAGGTTAGGAATTAAACCGGTGAAAAATCAATTAAATATTTTTTTTGTGATTTCCCAACAAACAAACACGCACGCACTCACACAATCACATAGACACACATTGGACTCACACACACACACACGATGCCACGTTGGAAAAGCGAGAATACCCAAAAAAAAAAAAAGAAACCGCAATTTGCCTTTGCAATTGGAAAATTTACAAACAAAAAGCAAAGGAAAAAATAACAACAACACTTCTGCCGCGTTCTCTTGCTTTTCGCTTTGATTCCTTTTTAAAAATAAATTCGTACTCGCGAAGAGCACGGGAATAAGCACACCGCTACCGTCGACTAATATTTTGTTATTAACTATTTCCGCTGCACTTTTGTTTTAAATACTTCGGCCGAAAATCACAAAATACAACACAAAAAGCGCAAAACAACAAAAAAACACATCGCACAAAGCTGAGAGAGCCAAAGAGCGAGAGAGCGTAATAGGAAGAGAGCCGAAGAGCAGCAGATGGTGTGCGAACTAGTTCCGCGGTAATCACTTAACAATAAAATGAGCTAACAATTTTACTTATTGATAAAAAAAAAATATAATTTATATATTTATATTTATTTTATAATTATTAATAAAAAAACTAAAATAATTTTTTTCGAAGTAAAATATAATACAATTTAAATGCAGTTACTTATCTAAGCTCAAATTATATAAAAAAAAAACAAAAAAAGTTTACTAAAACTATTAAAAAGACATTTTCATTCTTACCACTTTTAACACCAATACCACCTATATACAAAACAACAAAAATTAAATAACAAAATTCCTCTTGCGACAAAATGAACCACTTGGAACTATCACGCAAACTGACTCGTGGTGAGCAAAAGAAAGACGCAAAAATGCGATGCCGATAGAGAGGGCAAGCACGGGAGAGCTACAGAGAGTGCCAAACGAAACGTGGTGTGGTGGAGGTAAGCAAATGAACGGTGAACGTGGTGAATATACCGCGCCGAGTTGAGCTTCGGCACTGTGGTGAGAACTGAAAGCGCGCGTATTCAAAAGTGTGTATATTATTTTTACTGGGTTTTCGATCAGTTTTACTTGAAAGTGAGTGGCGTCGAAGTAAATGCTTTGGTTGGGAACAATTTCTTTTCTATACATTCTACTACTTGAACGTAATATATTGTTGAGTTTGTAATTCAATTTCTAATAATACTGCATTCAAAGGTAAAATATAAATTTTTTCAAATTTTCGAAAAATTAGATGATGTTACCCCTTAATCAAGTATGTGAAATTTCGTTTACCCGATTTCCTCTCAAAAAGTACAGTATAATGCCCATAACTAGACCAATAATGGTCCAAACATGGAATGTCGTACCTCGTTAAGCTTGTCATCTAATTCTTAGTAGATCTGTGTTTAAAGATGAAAATGTAAAATTTTTTCCATTTTTCGGAAAACTAGATGATGTTACCCCTTGTCATATATGCCAAACTGGTTTTATGTCGATTTTCTTCCCATAATGACAGTGTTATGTCCATAACAAACAAATATGGAATGTAATACCTCACTAAGTTTGTCTTTTAATTCCTATCATATCTTTATTCACACCTAGTAGATTTATAGCCGGTAGGTAGTATTAGCTGCTCAAAACAGTCAGCTGAAAGCCCAGACAAATATGGCAATATATAAAATCTACATTTCTAGCCTGCACTAGAAGAAGGATCATCTTTAAGGCTTCGTTTAATGGTTCAACTCGCTCTCAATATAATTATATTGACTATTTCAAATGTATGCCTTTTAAATAACATTTTATACGATTCATTTATATTTCTATAGTATATCAAAGAAAGTTGAATAAGTCATACATACATATCTTGTTCTTTATTGACATAAACAGAATTACAATGGCTTTTGTGGGGAGGCAATAAACAATAAACACGATAGTAGTTATGGTAAAAAAAAGAAGCATTAACTAGGAAGCTATATATTTATATATATATATATATATATTTTGGTTACTCCTTGCGCCTGGCCCGAAGTCGTAGAGCCAGATAGGCGAATACCCGGAATCCCACAATGAGGATGGCCAGACCCACATAATCCAGCGGAAGATCAGCGGCCGAGAAGTTGAGGGTCTCTAGAATAACCTTGCCTGAACTGGGGCACGTGGTGTTCGACGAGGTGCAGCTGATCTCGCCCTGCTCCACATCAGCCCACTGGTTAATAAGCAGACCCTCGTTGGCATACCGGAACCATGAAAGATATGACAGCCATTTGAGGTATACCGGCACTGATCCCGAATTTAAAAAGAAGCCACCAAATAACAGGAATGGTATTATGACCGGTGGGCCCACGGACAGGGCCATCGAGGTCGAGGAGCTGGCGCAGGAGATTAAATAACCAAAGGATGTAGAAACATTGGCCACCAATGTGACCAGTGCCAGGCAGTTTAGAAAGTGCAGCACTCCGGCCCGCAGCCCAATCATTGGATAGGCAATCGCCGTAAAGACCAGAGGCACTGTGAGAAATAGTGGCAGTTCAGCAATAGTTTTGCCCAAGAAGTAGGTGTCGCATCGATAAAGTCGACTCCGGGCCTCCCTCATAAAAACTGGCAGCTCTGAGGTGAACACCTAAACAGATATTGGGAAAAAACGAAAGCAGATCGAAATAAATATTTATTATCCATTAATAGAATTAAAATATCTTAAGAATAATTAAGGTCTGGATGGATTAACTAATCTATAATAATACAAACTTACATTAATCGTGGCAAAGACATTTTGGAAGGTCATGTTGGTCAAGAAGAGGAAGATGGCTCCATTGATGTTCATCACGCCCACTTGGGTCAGTTGTTGGCCCAAAAAGATAAGGCCAATCAAGATGGCAACCATCTGGAAATCATAATATTACTTGCATCGTATTAATTGTAATATGTAAACTACTTTTGGTGTGTTTATTTCATTTTATTTACTTATTGAAAAGGTTGGTAAATGAAAAAAACTTTGAATTTCGTTTGCATAAAAACCAATTATAGTTTTAAATTCTAAGAAACTATTCAGTTCATTTGTTGATGACTTTTTTTTTATATAATATCTACTTAAGCATATGGAATATAGTTCTACTTCAAAAATATATAGCATAGGATACATTATACTGATATCTCATATGTTTTCCGTGGAACCACTCACCGTTGTCTGAATGAGTCGAACTTTGACGAGGAGTGGTTCCTTGAGCACCGAAAGCCAGGATCGCCAAAGGACAGCCCGGAATTGCATGAACCAGGTGGCCTTGTAGGTGTAACCATTTTCCGGCTGTTCCAGCGGCTTTTCCAGATTCTTGGTGGCCAACAACTGTTCCATATCCCGGGCCACTTTGCTAATGGCGAAATTGTCGCAGATCTTTGCAATACGATCCCGGGACTCGATCTCCCTTCCTGGCACTACGGCCAAAACTTGAACGTAAAAGTCAGCTGGATTGTAGTTGGTGGGACACTGTGCACCCACGCTGGAAGATATTCGTAATAGTAGAAAGATATAAGAATTTAGGAATCTATTTAATGCTCTTTAGATAATTTAAAAGCAAATAAAAATCGATACTCACTAGGAGAAGAAGTCGACGGCTTCACTGGGAGTGCCCAGGAAGGCAACCCTTCCCTCGGCCATCAGGAGGATCTTGTCAAAGAGTTCAAACAGCTCGGAAGATGGCTGGTGAATCGTTAGGATTACGGTCTTGCCCTTCTGTGATAGCTTCTTCAACACCTGGACAACACTGTGGGCTGTGAAAGAGTCCAGTCCGGAGGTTGGCTCATCACAGATGAGCAGTGGCGGATCGGTTAGCGCCTCCGAAGCAAAGGCCAGTCGTTTCCGTTCACCGCCCGAGAGACCTTTCACCCGGCCAGGAACACCGATAATCGTGTGTTGGCACTTGCTGAGCGATAGCTCCTGGATCACCTGATCCACTCGAGCCACCCGCTGACGATAGGTCAAGTGTCTTGGCATCCGCACCATTGCCTGGAAAATAAGATGTTCCCTAGCCGTCAGCGAGCCAATAAAGAGGTCATCTTGCTGGACATAGGCGCATCTGGCTTGCATCTCCTTTGCATCCACTGGTTGGCCATTGAGGAGTCGCATTCCAGATGGCGATACCTGAATGCCCTGTGGCGATCGAAAAGCAAGGGCATTCAGCAGAGTCGTCTTTCCCGCACCGGAACTGCCCATTACGGCCAGCAATTCACCCGGATAGGCAACTCCGCAGACTGGGATACATTTCCAAAGAATAAGATTATAAATATTCCTTGTGATTGAAATTAAGCTCACCGTTCTTCAGGAGATGTTTCCTGGGTGCCGGAATGTGTCGCTCGTTGCAGAAGAGTCCGCGGGTCCGATTGACCAGCTGCCGCCATCCTGATCCCGGTTGATTAACAGCTCCGAAAATGTCTAGGTTGTGCCAGGCGTAGGTAAGGTTCTCTGGTAGTTGGCCACTGCCCGATCCAGAGTTCTCCGGCGGAGTAGGCGGCCGAAGAGTTCCATAGTTCTTGGTCTGACCGAAACCCTGATTAATGCAACTCTGGGAAGCTCCTCCGCTGTCACCCTGTAAAAAAAAATGGATTGTTATTAAAAAAAAAATCTACTTTTTTTATAACTTAATTATCAAAAATATATTTTCTTAAAAATATATTTCTTTAGGTGTATCCTGAAAATGTTGCAAACTGAAAACTTTTCAATTTCACGGCGTTCGTCCATAAAAATGAAGGCGTCTGTGCATAAATCTTGGCTAGCCTGGCTAATCCCTACCCTCTCGCCAACCATGTTGTGATCCCAAAAACCCTCAGCCGCCCACACCCCCTCTTAGATTAACAAAGGCGACCATCTGTTTAATAAAAATGCCCAAGTCCCGAGTTTTCCAAGTTTCCCGGCAAAGACGATGGTGAGGCCTATTTAAAATGTGCAAATTAGGGCAGGCCATAAGCCGCAGTTGGTTGACGGCCTTGAAAGTGGGCGGTGGTGGTGGTAGGCGTGGCATGGGTCCACCATGTTGCCACTTCATAAGACAATTGCGAGTGTAAATCGGCCGGCATCTTTGGCTTTCGTTTGGGGACTTTGAGCTCCGTCAGCTTTGTTTTTATTAAATATAAAACTTTAAGGGATACTTGGCCATATAAATGGGTTCGTATTTTTTCTTATTTTGCGGGGGTGTAGGGTCTCAATCTTTATAGATGAGTAGTTCGGTCGGTCGATGGTAGTCATGCTATGAATATTTACTTGCCAAAAGTTGTGGGTGAATTTTACTCTATTCACTCAATTTATATACTCGCAAAGGGGATTTTCCATATGAGTGCTTCGAAATGAATAGCTGATTAACCATTTTAAATAATAAAGTCATGGCGTTTTTTTTTAGGACGAATACCATTTACCAAGTGGAAAAGGGAAGGGCATGGAAAGTTTTATATGTTCTAGTAGTAACATTTTCAGCTTGGAGTAAATCAAAATTGTCGTTAAACTATAACAGTTAAGGTATTATTTATTTATGGGCAAAGTGATTGCCAAACCCACTGAGCTGTCAGTTTTTCGCCAAGGTGGGGCTTCCCTTTCGAAAAGGCGGTAACCGAAGACGTTTGCGGTATGGTCAAATCAAACCATCCCCCACCCGTCGTCTTAACTTTTCCGCCAGCCCCCAAACCACTTCCGCTCACCCGCACTTCTTCTCCAACCTCACTCCCTGCATATTTTCATATTTCCATAAACAATTTTCTGTTTTCCATTTGTGAGGTTTCTTGGTATCGCGTTGGCCTGCGGCAAAGCATAAATAACAGGGATCCACTAATTGGCGTCCAGGCAAAAAAAAGAAATATACCAAAAAAAAAAAAAAAAAAAAGAAAGAGGAAAACAAGACAAAATGATGGCCACAATATGGAAAACATTTTATCCACCGCTGCTCTCATAATAATTTGTATAAATAATCATAAAAAATTAAACAAGGAAAAAAAAAGAAAGGAAAAATGAAATGCAAGCAAATGAGAAGGGAAAATCCAAAGGAGGGCCAAATAAAAAGCTGACATTCAATAAAAGCCAGAAAAATGTAAAGAAATAATGTCCACCTTGCACTCAGCGCCTGGCGTTATACAGTACAGTGAAGTTAGGCAGAAAGAAGTCATCTTATACTTCCAAATATGAAACATATCAATTGATTACCAAATTTTTCAGGAGAAGATAATAGAAAATAACATTGAAAATGGTAAATCTGATAAAGGACTTCCTAAAGTTTGGTTATATAGAAAAGAAATGAATTCTCTAGATTTTTCTTCTAATGTTCAAAGTCCATTTTACTAAGTCTCCACTGTTACTTTTCTGCTGCGATGCTTTGGCAGCTTATTCTTCTAGGCACTCGGTGTCCAGTTTTTTTGGGCTGACTTTTACCAGGAAAAATTGTGTGACGTCGCGAGAGGTGGACGAGCAAAAAAATGTAATATCCGTTTTCAGGCACTACCCATGTAGAGCGAGACGGCTAGATGGGCGATTGGGGGACAGAGAGAGCAAGACAGACCTGGCAAAATTGTTTTCACAACAAATGAGGCCGAAAAATGTTATTAAAAAGTTTTCCTTTCCTTTCGCTTTTCACCGTTCCTTTTCCATTGGGCGTTCTTATCTCTCCGCCCTTGGTTTATTCTCCAGCTTCTTCTTTTATTTTCTTTTATATATCTATACATATATATGTATTTTTTTTTTGGAATAAGTAGCAAAAGATGCTACATTTCATATTTATTTAATTTTTTTTCGCTTACTTTTTACTTTGCGTGCTATTTTTGAATTACTTACGAAACAAGAAGGAAATTCGAGAAAATGAGAGTGGGCCCAAAGTGGTTGTCCCGCCCGCCAGATGGCGCTATAGCAGTCAGGGTGGGTTCAGGGCAAAGGAAGAGGAAGAGCCTTGCTTTTTTTTGATGAACTTGACAAATTGAAATGACTGAATGAAGGAGCGACTCAATTTGTTGTGTTCCACTCCCCCGTTTTGTCGAGTGTGCGAGTGGCTAATGAGTGCACTCAAAAGTCATTCACTTTGATGCGAACAAAACACTGAAGGAGGCACAATTATTCAGCGGAAAAGTTCACGAGCACTCGATGAAATTGGGGAAATAATAGGACAAAAAAAAAAAAATACAAAGAATAAGCTAAGAAGATAATAATACATTTTGGTTACATTTATAATAATTTAATTCATCTTGAAAGTCTTAAAAATATGTTAAAACATTTTTAAACAAGAAACACTTAGAAATTGATTTAACAAGCTTGTTAGCTTTAATTTCTTTTTTCCCCCAAAAAGTTTTAAACTTCTTATCTATCTTCTAAGGAAAGAAAATTAGAAAAACTGCCTAGGGGTAGGCGGCGTACTCATACATACTGGTATGTACCCTGCTCACTTATTTGTTCGTTATAAAAGCCGAGGTGCCAAGAATTTGAAGCCAGATACCGAGAGATGTCAAGATATCAGATGCTGAACCTGAAGCATTATTCGAGTCTAGTCAAATAATGACCCAGATAAGACTAGATTGTACATTTTCAGACGAATGAGACGGCTAGGTAAACAATGAGGTCTTAAGATCATGTAGGAGATGCAGATACACAAACAGAAACAGATACGGATACAGTATCTGATATCTTGTGTCTTGTATCTTGTACCTAGTATCTAGTATCGCCCAGAGTTATAGACACCCAACAATGTTGTTGGCCAACTTGAGACGATAATCCGAACCACCCTCCAAAAGGTTATGCATCATTAAATATATAATCTACTATTTATATTTTACCATTATGTAGCAAGAAAGTGTAGAAAGAAAGTCTTTAAAAATATGATTAACTTATTATGTTATCCCAGTTATACTGACAGCTATGTTCCAAATATTATTTCTTTCTTTTTATTTTTGCAACATCATTTTATAAGCATCTTAAAGAGAGTTTTCAAAAATCTTAAAAAAATGGTTTCACTTAGTATATAAAATGATGAAATTTCGATCACAGCTATTTAGCATCATTTATTTTAGGTCTTTATTTTCTTGCGCAATTGCGGTTTGTATCTTTGTGGGCCGCCGTTCTCACGCTGCAAACAATCGGATGTGGCAATCGCTGCAGTTCCTATAGATGGGATCGTAAATACTACTCACGTTGTTCAGATGCTCGGCGGATGGATGTTTGCTTCCTCCACGAATTAACAGCTCCTGATCCTCTTGGCCCATTGCTGGGATTTTTTTTGGTTTTCGTTCCTGCTGCTTTTCCACCCAAAAACAATCACTCAAAAAAAAATAATAGGTAGAACGAAGGTAAATTTGGGATAACGAGAAGCGTTTTGGCACTGCAATTCGTGTTTAATTGATGGAGGAGTAAACCGCTTGGAGCTTCGTCACGAAACCGCTGACAAAATGCAACTGAAGGCGGACATTGACGCTAGGTAATGCGACAACAGTGGCGAAAGAGATGAGAGATATGGCGGCGAAAAAGACGGGTATATGAATGACGGTAGAAAAGAGACCGGGTGGGGGCGACCAACGTTGACTTTGAGTGGAATGACGTTTTGAGTGAGAGATAATCAGAGGATCCGAAAGGGATGGAACTTCAAATACCCTAGCTTGGATTTCTTCTTAAAGATCGGTTGATGAATATATTAGTTTTTGAAGTTCAGGATTTAATAGATGTAACCGTGTAGAATGTACCTTTCCTCAATAAAATGAAGTAAAGTTATTAAATATGAACGCATGTACATCAAAATCTTAACCACCTATTCACGATTATGATAATGCCCCACCTGAAGAGTACTCAAAAGCAGAGTGCCTCTATTTGAATGCTGATTAGAGTAAGAGAGAGAGTGAGTGAGAGGGAAGCGTCTTCTTATCGTGAATAAGCAAAGTCTTGTTAATCCGCCTGTTGTCGTCCCGTTTCGGGGGTTTGTACTGTACTTTGCATGCATGATTTATCAAACGACCGGCGACTGTTGATGATGCGAACTCCGGCCCCATTTTCCGTACCCTTACCCCGTACTCCGAATACTCCGGTCGTTGTCGTCATCGTTAGCACCTCATCTCAGGTCCCGCAGACTCGCACAGTCTCCCGCCATCAGCTGTCCGGACATTATCAATCTTCATCATCGAACCAGTTGTTGGCCCAGGATATGGATCCGGACAAGGACGGACTTTCCGGGTGCGGATATAGGGTTGATGTGGTATGGAAGGGAGGCTGTCAATATCATTTTCACGGGCGATGGGCTAACAGGTTAACAATTGCAGTTGCCGAATTTCCGAGAATTAATTTGCTAACGACGATTAAGTGAATTACAAATGAATACGTTCTGGCTTCTTTTTGATTTGTGGCTTAAATTTAAAGAGAAATTTAAGCAATTTTTGTTTATTCTGTGTTACTTACAAGCTGATTAAGAATATTATTTAATATAAATTCTTAAAAGATAAACTAGAATTTCAATAAAATTAAGTTTAACTATAAGACTGCAAGATTTCTAAAAAAAAAACCTAATTTTGATTTTTATAAATCGAATGAAACAAGGCTCCACTCTTTTTGCTAACAAAGTAAACTTTCTGTTTGAATCGTAAGGGATTTTCTTTGTGAGACGATCTACGGCCAGACAACAAAGAAGCGGTAATGTTTCCACTCGTTTTCTCGCTTACGACTAACCGAGTTTTTCGCTCAGTGACACTTCTGGGGCTTCCCCTGATATTTTGCTTGAGCGAAGCTTAAAGCGGGTTTCGCCCGTCTCGAACTTCGTGTTCGTTGTGTGTTTGCCATCACTCACTCACTCAAATGTTATAAACTTTTTGCACTTAACAATTTATTGTCACTCGGTTCTGGCTGCAGCAAAAGAGCTAAAAAAAAAAAACAACTACAGAGCAGACAAAAACGGGTGCTTAAGACCGATTATAAAATGCTCTAATTGATATGCCAGCTTAATTGGATTTTAGTTAATAATAATGTTGATTACATGAGTATATATGGAGTTTCTTTTTAAAGATTAGCTATAACCTGATTTTCTTGCAATTATTACTACATTTCTTTAATTTCTTTTCAAGTTTCTTAAGGAAAATTAACATTGTTTTTCGGGATTTAAAAGGTCATCAAAGAGCTTTATAGATTTTACAAATATTTAACAAATTCATACTTTAAAAAAAGACTACCACAAACCTGTGACAATCATGTATACCCTGTAAAAGAAAGCGAAAAAGAAGTAACTTGAGCTAAAGCATAGAAAGTTTATTTTTTTCCAAACACTCTTTTTTACTCTCTCCCGAACACACACTTCACACTTTATACTATGCTACATATATACATACTAACAAAGGTAAATCCCTGGCCATTGACACAAGAAGTCGGGCTTGAGGGAGAAGCTAAGGAGGTTAAGGGGGTCTAGGTTGACTTAACCCTCAGATTTTCTTGCCTCTGTACGTTTAACCCATGCAAATTATTGACGCGGACAGCGGGCTCAATAAATCTGTGTGTGTGTGTGTGTGTGTGTGTGTGTAAGTGGAGAAACTTTTGCTAGCTGCACGCTAATCAGACAGCTTTCTAGTTCATTGCTTTCCAGCCACGCCCCCATCCTCAATCCAGACCACCCAACGCCCATTTTCATCTCAGTTGGCTGTAATTGCAAAGTAAATCAGCGCTGCCATTTGCCATGCCCAAAAAGTATGCTCCATGGGAAAAAGTGGCTAAAATTTAGCGAGAGAGAGCAGAGGTAGGGGAAAATCTCAATTTTCAGCAGGGGAAAAAAGGGGTTTTCCTGGGAGGGCCTAAGGTTTTTCAAGCGCCACCAAGGATAATGTAAGAGGGCTGCTCTGGCGAAAGTTTTGGGCAACTTTTAAAGAGAGAGAAAGGAATGTGTTATGGGTTCGGGTCACATAGTTAGTTAGTCCCCCAACTTCAAACCAAATGACGTCGAAGCCATGGAGTTAAACGTTTGTCAAGCCATCGAGGCAAAGATTTATGGAGTATGGGTAGGTTTAGGAAAATGCCAAGAAGGGCTTGTGGTAGGGGAAAAGTTTGGCAAGATTCGCTCAGGTTTCACTCGATTTAAATTAGCACAAATATCTGTATAAAAAAGTTGGACACGTTTTCGAATTTGTTAAGAAATAGACTTTTAGATTCCCATCCGTCATGCCATCTTATTCAATATTGAGGATTTCGGAAAAGAGGGGAAAACTTTATTAAAAGAAAATTTTAAATCTTATCTCTTGGCTTACAATAACCCCTTTTAAGCCTCCATCCCATTTATGGGTAAATAAAATTCTACGAGCTTCTTGGTCCACTTTTTTTGTTTGTTTTTTTTTGTTGTATTTTCTCCATCCGTATTTTATTTTGGTCCCACTTTGCTTTTATGTGTCATCAATTCGAGTTCCTTTTGCCAACTGCCGATGAATTTGTTTATGCAAAGGACCCAGTTCCCTGTCAGAACCAATTTCGACTTCATGGCAATCACTTGAATCTTCGCCTAGTTGGTCGCCCTGCAATAAATGCGAAAGACAGCCGGGCAAATATTTAGATACTTGCACATACTCCTTCTTTTTCCGTATGCCCTTTCGAAGTGGTAGGGTTTTCTGTTTAAGGAAAAGTTAAGAAAATTTAAGAAAATTTATAGAAATTAAGTGAATAAGATATAATTTTTTAAGATTTTTCACTATTAAAGTTTCAATATATTTCTTTCTGTTGAAGCACAAAAATTTTCAACGATTTCCTTTATTTTCTGCTATTTTAGGGTATTATATATTTTGTAAAATTTTGGTTCTCCCGTTGTACTTTCGATCTGCCTGCCGTTTTCTATTAGAGAACATCAAGCAAATGCTCAACAGTGCGATAAGGCAGTGTCAGTTTGTTGGATGTCAAAAGGGAGCGATTGGAGGGGTTGTCAGCGGGGCAGTGGGCTGAAAAGAGGCGTGACCGGGGAGGCCGGGAGTTATAGACGAAGCCTATGGCGAGCGGAAGTCGCCGTTCGCTTACAGCACGCGCGCGTCTCATAAAAACGTATCAAAACATCCGCTGGGAGTCATAAAAATTTTGCACTCTGACTTCGCTTTCCGTCGCCGCTTTTCCTCGCCTTTCCTTGTTACCCCACAATTTCCGCCTTGTGATTTTCCCTGCGATGCAGTTGGCTTCTCCATCTCCATCTACATCTCCATCTCCCCATCTCCATCTCGTTCTCCATGTGGGACTACCCGGCGTATGTGTAATCTAATAAAATTTGCTGTTTATGTGGCAACAGGCTCACTGCTTCCTTCTCTTTCTCTCCGTGTAGCTAACTAGCTTCCTCCAAGTGGCTTTTCCCGCTTTTCCCCAAGTTTTCCTCTTCTGGTTTTTTTTTTTTTATTCTCATCTGTGCAACAGTTGCGCTGCTTTATGGCACAATGGCTGAGCAGTCGAGAAAGCCAGTTAACTGCCAGTTATTTGTTGCAGTGTATGTGTGCGAAGTGTAAGGACGAGAAAGTTGCAATGGGGCAAAAGTTGAAGTCTAAAGGAATTTCAGCATTGTTCTTAGGCAGTTTGAAATAATTCCAGAGCTTATATAACCACGTTATAGGATTTATATTGGTTAATACTTTCGCAACTTCTTCACTGAACTTGATGAAAAAAAAAAAAAAAAACCTTAAGTAATTAAATGAAAAATAGAAAGTTTTCAGTTGGGGTTTTCTGAATGTTAAAACTGTATTTTTATGATTTTATAATTTTGGAAATATAATATCCTGAGAACTGCTCTATAAAGCTGATAGTTTAAGCATTTTTTATGCAATGGCCTTTTGGCGTTCTTTTTTTTTGGTAGAATATTGCTTTTAAGCGGCTTGTGCCTTAAATGCAATTATCGCATAACAAGCACACAGAGAGAAAAAAAAAATAAATAAAAACGAAATCGGTTATGGGAGCGCACACACACACACACACGCACACATAAATACATAAATATGCATATTTGTCCATGGTTTGGGCTTATCGCGAAATTATTTCCAGGCCATGTTTATAGGCGGATATTTAATGGCTGGCCAAATCCCGCGAAATGATGATAAATCTCTCTCTAGGAAATGATTTTTTTTTGGCTTTGCTACCACAAAAAAAAAAATTAATAAAAATAATAATAATAATACAAAAAAAATATAGAAAAGAAACAATTTCGAAGTCAATAGGGATAAAGGCAGTTCATTTTTGGAGAGTTGTAAAAAACCCCAAACGAATGCAGAAAAACATCAAGCACAAAGTCTCCACCACATTTTCCTTAAATTACTATCTTTGTTAATTTTTGTTGTTTTTAATTACATCAGCTCATTAATCATGACAAATCGGAAGACAACGGCAATAATAACAAACAGCAGCCAGTGACATTTGCCGCCTGTTGCAATTTAATTAGATTAAAAATGCATATAATTTATCAAAATGTGAAGGAAA